GTTCCAGGACCTTGGGCAAGGGGTGTCTGAAGTTTACATAAGCAATTCAGTCAGGGAGGACAAACCCATACCCAAAAAGGATGCCTTTCTATTCAGGAATAACCAGTCATGATGAGCTGAGCACAACATCAGTAACTCACTGCTAGGTTTCTGGCAATGCCTCTCATCCCTGCCCTCAACAGTTACCAGGCAATAGCTTCCTTTCATGGTTGTCCTGTTGGCAGACTGGGCCCTTGGCAGTGGTGGTACCCAGGTTGCCTTGAAAAAGAGGATGTCTGTGCTGAGCCGTCAAAAACCTCCATCCCTTGGCCCATTGAGCCTCCACAGAGATGGAGGAAGATGCTGGTACACAGCACAGACCATCTTGTCCACTGATTACTGAGTTTTCTCTGCAGTAGAGACCCTTTGACAAGCATTTACAGGGAACAAAGATCCTGGGACCCACTGGGGTTATAAGTCTGGAGGCAAAGGCAGGTGGCGAGAACAGACCTCAGCACACAGTCTTTATGCAGGAAAGCCTACTTTCCTCAGACAGGGAGAAATCTAGTGAGACAGGCTGGAGGAATCGGAGTAGGGGTGGTCAGGGTTCTTGGTTGAGTCCTCTCAGATGTCTCCCTCCCAAATCCCCGGGTCCCTCCTCTTCCCACTAATGCCCTGAATTTAACATAAGGGATTTACTGTAGCTGTCATTTGGTTTTCTTTTTTAAATATATTATTCACTTATTTTTGACTGAGCTGGGTCTTTGTCGCTGCTCACGGGCTTTCTCTGCTTGCAGTGAGCAGGGCTGGCTGCTCTCTTGCTGAGGCTGGAGGTCTTCTCCCCACAGGGGCCTCTCTTGTTGAGTGTGGGCTCTGGCGCTCTGGCTCAGTAAGTTACGGCTCACTGTCTCAGTTGCCCCCCAGCATGTGGACCAGGGGGGCACATGCTAGACCAGGGATTGGACCCATATTTCCTGCATTGGCCAGCAGATTCTTAACCACTAACCCCCCCAGGGAAGTCCTGGTTGTCATTTCTACTGCCCACACAATTAGATACTGGGCCTGATCCACAGCCAGGCTCTCCTTGTGGTTACAAGAAATGAACTGCTGTTTTGACGCTGACCTCTGAGTGACCTCTTGGATTTGTGCCTAACCCAGCTCAGACTGGACTTCCAGACTTCCAGTTCAGAACTGGATGGTCATTTCAGAAGCTTTCCAGCACCATCTGCGTGAACATTATTACTGCCCATTAGTGGAATGTAGCCTCTAGTGAGTATCCCAAACCCTTAAACTCAACCAGCATCCCAACTCAAACAACAGGTTATGGTTTAGCCCAGAGAGGTGGGAACCATGGCAGGCCTGCCCAACAGAAAGCCAGGGCCAGAAAGAAAGTGCAGCCACTGCCTGAGACACAAGGAAACATAGGGAGAAAAGTCCCTGTGGCTTGTCCCTTCCTCCTGCTCAGTCCGTCTCTGACCCTGGTCCCCTTTGACTGAATCACCTTTCTGCTGTTCTTGTTCAGTTGCTTAGTTGTGTCTGACTCTGCGACCCCATGGACTGCCGCATGCCAGCCTTCCCTGTTCTTCACTATCTCCCGGAGTTTGCTCAAACTCATGTTCATCGAGTTGGTGATGCCATCCAACCATCTCATCCTCTGCTGTCCCCTTCTCCTTCTGCCCTCAATCTTTCCCAGCATCAGGGTCTATTCCAATGAGTTGGCTCTTTGCATCAGGTGGCCAAAATATTGGAGCTTCAGCTTCAGCATCAGTCCTTCCAATGAATATTTAGTGTTGATTTCCCTTAGGATTGACTGACTAGTTTGAGAGTCTGGGAAAGAGAGTCGGGGTCAGCCCCAAGTGACACAGAGCTGAACAGGGAACATATGAGAAAGAAATCTGATAGCAAAAACTGCCAAGGACCCGTACCCCGCATGGTAGGCTTAGGGTGAGTAGAACCCAGGTATGTAATGCAGATTGTGCTCACAAAACAGGCTTTGATGTGCAACCACCCCAAGGACTTGCCATGATGCATCTGAATGAACTCTTGTGACTTGTAAATAGAACTACTGAATGTGAATAAATGTCAAGGGCAAAGAAAACACAGCAAAGGTAAATTCAAACAAGCAAATACCCATGTCAGATAAGGAGGTCACCACTCCCGATGTGAGGTTCTGGGTCCGCCGGATCCCTGTAGTCCAGCTAGGAGGGGAGTGTGGACTTGCTTCAGACAGAGCTGGAACGAGCCAGCCCCCTCGCCCATGCACCTTCCAGTTCACAGGTGCATCCAGAACTCTGCCCCAGCAAGCAGATCCCAAGCACCTCTTTTGCAACCCTCTACATATCTTTTCAAGACATACCAAGTATCTCAAGTCAAAACCGTTGCTACTACCAGAGGTTAGACTGGGGAGGCGAGGGGAGGTCAAACTTATCAAGCTGCAAGAGGTCTTAGGGTGACCTCGTCTAATAAGGAGCCACCTACAAGTGACATACTGTCTATCTTCAGGAGAAAGAAGTCTCAAATGTTACATTCAAAGGCACACAGAGTGTTGCAATTCCTGGTTTTAGGTTGCCATTTCTTCCCTTTTGCAGAGGAGACCTGTCAGCCATGTTTTCCCTACACAGGCCCTTCTGCAACAAGGCGCACTCATCACCACCCAGGGCTCTGCCACTGAAGAAATCTGCACCCAAACAGGGGTGTGGCTTGCTGCCCAGGGTCACACAGTCAAGGGCAAAGCCCACACTGAAAACCCATCTCTCCTCCCTCCTAAGTCCAGCACTCCTTCCTGTTTCAACCATTGCCGGTTGCAAGAAAAAGATGTGTGCTCCCACTTGAAGCCCAGGAGGTTACCATGAGGCAACAGCCCTCTAGTCCTGCCCGATGCTCTCCGAGGCCAGGCCGCCCTGTGAACGATCGATTGTGCCAGCCCAAGCTGTGTCACAAGAGGGTTTGAAATATTAATCCCAACTGCAACAGATGGGACTTCAAATGAAAAATTTGAGAAGCCAGACTTGGGACAACCCAGGCTAGCGTTCGGGAAGAAAGCACACAGTATTTCTAATCCTACGTGTCATGCTCATTTATTGATCTATCTGCCTCTCATCCTGGGCTCTCTTGGAATACGGGGCAAGTGTCTGTGATGGCAGGGGTCCCACGCCACTGCCCTCCCTTCCTGCACCCACCCACCACCTGCACTGGGTGCTCACAGCTCCGGGTCTCTAGGAACAAAAGTTTCAAACACACAGCAGCACTTGAAAAATACATGCTCAATAGATGAAAGCGCCAAGGAGTAGAAGGTGCTGGTCAGTCATCACGCTTTCTAGAGACTGTTGATTCCTATAGTTCCAAAGATGATGTGTCACATGGTCAAGTTCTGCTGGCATCTTCCATCAACCAGGCAATATATGTGAAGCAGTCACAAATTAATAGTCCTTGAAATCAATTTCTAATAACCCAACAGCTGAGAAGAATAGCTCCTAAAATATTTGTTGGAAGAATATTTTCAGATGGCTTGTCATTGTCATAAAATAATATTACATAGCATTATGCCTTGGCACTGTATAAAGGGCTCATATGAACATTCTGGCTTTATTTATTTATTTTTGGCTGTGCTGGGCCTTCGTTGCTCTGCGGGCTTTTCTCTAGTTGCAGCGAGTTGGGGCTGCTCTCCAGCTGCAGTGAGCGGGCTTCTCACTGAGCTGGCTTCCCTTGTTGCTGGGCGTGGGCTCGAGGGCCAGGACTTCAGTAGTTGTGGCTCATGGGCTCAGTGGTGGTGTTTCCCGGGCTCTAGAGCTCAGGCTCAGTGGTGGTGGCTCCCAGGTGCCCTGAGGCATGTGGAATCTTCCCAGACTAGGGATCAAACTTGCGTCTCCTGCATTGGCAGGTGGGTTCTTCACTCCCGAGCCACCAGGGAAGCTCCCATCCTTGCTTTCAACTCAGAAATGTTTCTTAAGTAGTTGAATGTGCCCTATGTCTTTTTTTAATATGAATTAAGATTTTATTGAGTGGTTTATTTAGAAGATTATTTCTAAAAAGGAAAATGAAAAGATCAACTCGGTGAACATTGGCACAGACACAGATTGGATGGAACTTGAGTTCGTGAGCTTGGGTTTTTACCATTGAAGCCTATGATCTGAAACTGGGCTAGGAAGTCCCAGGAGGTCGATCCTGGAACGAGCCCACGAGAACAAGCAGTGAATGTGGGGGGTGAGCCAGGGAATGGCAGGCAGGCAGCCAAGGTTGTGACAGTGAAGCGGGGACATGGTGCGGGCCTCAGGGCTCAGTGAGGACACGTGTCACACTTCAGCACCGTCCCATGCTGAGAGGAGGCGGTGGGGGTGCTGGGCCCCACTCCGGCCCTCACTGATGGAGCCGCTCCTAGGAGATCACCTCCCAGGCCCTACGAGCCTGCCCAGCAGCTGGCCAGCCATGGTCCAAGGCAGAGCCAGAGAACATCCCAGAGGCAGAGAATGCAGGAAGCTGACAGCTCCAAGGAGAAGCAGCCAGGGAGGCTGGGAGGGAATGGCCAGATACTTGCCCTCTGCCCTCTGCCCTTCCTAGGCCTGGGAGCTCCAGGCCTCTACAAAGACTTGAGTATCATGGAGGCCTCCTCACCAGCGAACATCTGCTGTGATGCCCAGTCATTCTCCAGAAAGTATAGGCCCCAGCTTCCCTGGACAGGTGTGGCCCCCTAAGTGAGGGGTGCTGTAGCCTGGTCCTGTGATGACAACGTGGCTGAAAGACAACTGTTTTATTAATGAAAACCACACACTCCGATTATATACACTTTCTGCATCAGAAATGCCATTTCAGAAACAAATACGTTGAGAACCCAGGGCACCGAAAGAAAAGACTCAATCATAAAAAACAAAGCCAGGGAAGCAAATCATTAACTACTCGCTAAAGAAATGTCAAATGTGCTAGAAGAAAATATCCTTTAGCTCACCAACTGGTGACCAATCTGCTAGGTAAGAGTGAGCAGTTTGCACCTTTTGGCAGCTCATGGGGACCTGGAGAAGAGCGGCCTAGCCAGGCTTGGCTGGGAAGGACAGAGACACGAGGTGGGGGTCAGAGGAGGGGAGCATGGGGTGCGGACCTGTGCTGGGCAGGGCTGTCCCCCTCCTGGCAGCAGCTCGGCAAGCATGCAGCAGACCCAGGCCCACTGTGACATCACGCAGCCACCGGGAGACACACTGCATTCTCTGCCACCACCTCGCCTGCCAGGGCGCCATCCGTGTTCTGATTTTGCCAACAGACCCCCGACACCCTTTATGGCACTTTTCCCTCCGGCACAGGAAGCACCCAGCATCCGGTACTTCATCCATCCGCCGTGTCTCCTTAAGTCACCTATACCCTGGAGCATTCCAGTAGCTTGAAAAAAAAAAAATCTTTTACTGTATTGTGTTTCTGAAGAATAATTTCCTCCACCCTTTTGAATAGAATTGCTCTCATTTAAGGCTGGCCACCTTTCTGGCCGGTGAGCCACATGAGCAGTGCTGCATTCACTGCAGACGTGCGGTGGCCACTGGCCCCTCTCTGACAACACCCATTAGGCGTCACCCGGCTCCCCATAGCAGGGTTCCCCATAGCAGGGTTCCCCATAGCAGGGTTCCCCTGCGGGCTTCCCAGGTGGCTCAGTGGTGAAGAACCTGCCTGCCAGTGCAGGAGACTCAGGAGACCCAGGTTTGATCCCTGGGTCAGGAAGATCCCCTGAAGGAGAGAATGGTAACCCACTCCAGTACTCTTGCCTGGAGAATCCCACGGACAGAGGAGCCTGGGGACTTTGGTCCATGGGATCACAGAGAGTCGGACACAGCTGAGTGACTTAGCTTAGCACACACACGTGGTCCCACTGGTTCCCCTGCAATGGGTGCACGTGTGCTGATCCTCACAAGCCTCCCCTTAGACTCAGCATCCAGCAGGAATTCTTGCCTGAGTCCGTCTTTACCGTGACGGCTGCACATGATGGCCCATGGCTGACTCTCCTCACACGTCACCAGCCAGCACTGGGCATTCCTGCAACCCTCCTTTCTCTCCCATTTATTTACCGTTTAATTTTTATTATGGCCTGAAGGTTGCTATTTTTAAAATAGTTAATAAGTCACTACTGTGCTTAATTGGCTGCTGAAACTGAACTAGGTTTGGCCAATGAAATCCCATCAAGTAGGCTCCCAAGTCCTTCCGACATGCCCCATCTTGATTTTTAATCACTCCTTATTTTGTGGCATAAGGTACCCCACGCTCATGCAATCTATGTTGTCACAACTCTGAAATCAGCCATTTCTACAAGGAGTCCAGCTGGTTCCTCTTGGTGGGAAATAGTACTCAACACCAACGTCTGGGTGCAGGTGTGCTCATTGCTCCGTGGCGTACTTGCTTCTAGGTCTTTCGGTGGACATAGTGCTCAACAATGTCTTGGACAACTGGACAAATTCGTGCATCTTTATCTTGGGGATGTCCTTTCCAAGGGTCAGCTTTTATCGGAACCGGCATGATAAAGCACGGTTCCCTCCCAGGAACAGAGTCCTAGAGTTCAGGCGAAGAGGAGAAAATCAATACAGACACTGTGATAAAGGACTGGGTTTCTGGTGCGAAGAGCGTGGCTCTGTGCAGGTATTGCCAGGATCAAACGTCCCTCCAGAATGGAGCTGTCAATATCTGAACCCCGGTACGAGTCACTAGGGTTTGAATCTTCCCCATGACCTTGGACAGCAAGCCACCAGCATCTTTTAACTAAAACACAGAGCAGTGAACCTACTGGGACATTCGTGGAAACCCCAGGGAGCGCTCTGCCGTCATCGAGGAGATGAGTTCAAGGATGCCCACGCACGCTCTGCGGCAGCCTGGCACCAAAGAGCATGTGGCCCTTGTCCACAATAAACATAGGCACTTTACAAAAATGCACGTACAGACTTGTGGTTGCAGCCTTAAACTGTCTTCTAGACACGGGAATATCAGCCAAGAGCCTTTCCCCTCACCTTCTTCTTACCCCTGCTCCAGCATTTCAGAGAGTAAGGACTGGACCTAGCTCCAAGAGTACTCTTGGTTATCAGGATACTCACAGCTTTGGGGCTTTGAGATGGTAAATATTCATGATACGTGAAACAGCATGATCCATAACTGTATGGTCTTAATTACATAAAAATGGATGCTTAGTTGTGAAAATACACACGTGAGACCTAAACGGACACACCAGACGGCAAACTGCTGTGCTTATGAGTGAGTTTGCTGTTTGCATCTTGTGTTTTTGGTTTCCTATTGTGCACATGTTAACTTCTAAGAAATAAATGTTATTTTGAAGACCTTATAAAAAAAAACACATGGTTCATGTGTGCTTTTTAAACCACTGTCTTTTGAAAAATTTCAAGCACACACAACCACGCAAGAACCTGTGTGGCCTTACCCACCGTTCTTAGTTTGTCCACATGCCTTGCTCCTTTATACTTTCTAGCAAGAAAATTTTCAAGCAAACTTTAGACATATTTTCATATGCATCTTCAAAATTAAGGCCAACACCATTATCATCTCCAACAAAACGAAAAGCAATAATTTGATTATCTAATAGTACCCAGTCAATGGGAAGCTCCCTTGGAGGAGGGCATAGCAACCCACTTTAATGGACACAGGAGCCTGGCGGGCTACAGTCCATAGGGGTCGGACATGGCTGAAGCAACGTAACACAGCACACACACACAGTCTATGCTTAATCTTCTCCAGTTATCTCAAAAGTGTCTTTTCATAGTTGATCTAAATTAAGATCTAAGCGAACATGATGAGTCTATCTCTTAAGAGTGTTTTAACCCATGATAGTTCTCCTTCCTTTTTAATCCCATTTACTTGTTGAAGAAACTGGGTTCTTATAGAAATTCCCACGTCTTGGATGTGGCTGATTGCCAAATTAGCTCTTAATAGACAAGAAACATTTAGTCCAGGAGAGATTACCCAGCAACCCAATGCGTGATTAACCCAGTGGGTGACATGGTGGTGAGAAGTATGATCAAAGGGCATGTGGGGGCCCTTCAGCAGGTGAGAAAGCCCAGACAAAGGGGCAGGAAGAAAGAGGCATTCCTAACTCAAGGAATTTCATGTGGGTTCAGCTGAAAGAAGGCAGTCCCCACAGGTAGTTGACAGGTGGGCACCAAGGAACTGGTGCACGTTGATCACAAGAAAACCCCAGTCCTCTTTTCCAAAGCTATCAGGGATGGCCTTTCCACGAACGTCTACCATGTGACTGCCAGCCTGCATTTCTGATCCTTTGCCCTCTCTGTGGTGCTTCATATTACAGAAAGCATCACATTACCACCATTCTTATCGTCAACAAACAAAAACACACCTCAGTTCATTTTACAACCTTTCAAACAAACCTGAATGCTCTTTCAAATCACCTTTCAATGTGCATTCTTATTTAATTAACAGGCTTACTCGAATCTTTCCTACTGTGTAAATATCTGGGTATGCTATGAGGCCAAGGTCCGTGGGCACACAAGCATGCACGACCGGTTACCCTGCTGGAGAACCAGGGCGGGTCAGCCTCTCTTAACCCGGTCTCAAATGGGACACCGCCCTGTTTCTCCCTGATCTAGTTTCCTGGAGATGCTCGTCACAAGAGGCCACACACCAAAGGGGCTTAAAACAACAGACACAGACTGCCTGGAGCACTGGGGGCTGAAAGTCCAAAATTGAGGTGTGGGCAGGGCTGTGCTCCATCTGAGCCCAGCAGGGCATGGCCGCCCCTCCCAGCCCGGGAGACTGCCGCAGCCTTGGCTTATGGCTTATGGTCTTCCTTGGTTTATGGTTGCATCACTTTCTCTCTCCCTTCATCAGCACAAGACGTTCTCCCTCGGTCTGTCTCCACGAGAGCATCTTAAAGGGACACTGATCATACTGGATTAGGGGCCACCCTGCTCCAGTAGACCACATCTTAACAATGGCACCTGCAACCACCCTATTTCTGAATTAAGTCACATCCTCAGGTGCTGGGGCTTTGGACTCCAACCTGTCTTTTCCGGGGGACACAGTTTTTAACCCATCACATTATTCTCTCACATATGATTTCAATATAAATAAGCACACAGTTGTAGCTACAACAAAGTACAGATTAACAAGCTCCCCACAACTTAAAATCACACATCTGCCCTATCCAGACCGACCTATGATACTCTCCAGGCCACCAGTGTCTGGAGATCTTTTGTTGTTGTTGTTTAGTTGCTAAGTCATGTCCGACTCTTTCATGACCCCTTGGACTGTAGCTCTGGAGGTCTTTATGATACCACTATTCTAGATAGCAGCTCATCACAGTTCCTTTACCAGTAAAGAATAAATGTACAAGCTCCTATGAGCCAGGCCAGGGTGGAAGGAGCACAGAGATGTTGGGAACTGGAAGGGCAGGATGCCGAGGACAGAGCCGGGTCCAGAAGCCTGAACACAGCCAGAGCGATGACACTAGACACACACGCTTGGGTCCTCTGAGCTGAGCGACCTTCTGCAAGTCACTGAGCTTTGCTGAATCTCCATTTCCTTCTCTGTGAGAAGCTAACTGGGCTTGCAGGGTTGCTGTGAGGCTGGAGTGAAAGGATGGAGGCGTGAGGCTTAGCAGGCAGCAGGCGGGAAACGGTAGGTATGGCCATTTGCTTCCGCCAGGCACAGAAGGCACAGAGGAAATGCTGGAACCCACTCCAAGTACTTGCACTCCCTGGGGACTGTCTGGGCTCCCGCTTCCTTGCAGGCTTGTCAGGGTGACTCGTGCTCTTCAGAGGCAGGCTCTGGGGGTGGGGGCAGAGGGGCCACCCCGCAGGGCTGCCCCATCAGGGTTGCTTGGGGCTTAGAGAATCATCATGGGTGGTTTGACCCTCAGACCAACAGGAAGGAAGCTTGTGGCTCACATAAGTAGCACCTCGACCTCGGTGTGCATGGGGCAAACTTTGACACAAACTCTGCTCTGAGGAGAGAGGCGGAGAAAGCAAACGTGACCCAAGGGTACCCTGTGGCATTCCCAGGGAGGTGAGATGAACGGCAGTGATATTCCTGCCCGCCAAGAGTCTCGTCTCTGGGGCAAGGAGGGGAGGAAGCAAGAACTGTCTTCGAGCGGCTGAGAACCGGGGTTGCGGGTGTCCGCTGGAGGGCATGGATGGGGGTTGTCACAAGGGGGAGGGGTGCTCAGCTCAGGGACTGACGCATGTTGCTCCATAGAATCATTACTCGAAACACGCAGAAATGAGCGAGAAGGCTCTGGGAATGCAAATGTAAGAATGCCATGTAGCAGAGGGACTGAATTCTGTAGCAGAGGGACTGAATTCTGCACCAGATGCTTCCGCGGCTCTTCCCC